ATATGTATCTGGCCTGGTTTGTTCCTTTTTTTGCAATTTCCTCGTTGCTCGCAGGCGGGGCTTTGTCTGCAGCGACCCCCTGCCGGGTGCTCCTGCTTCGCGGTGCTCCCCGGGCGCGGGGGGCAGGTCGGTTGCCGGGCGTCTTCCCGATCTGAGCTGGTTCGGGGCGAGGTGTGTCTGCAGCCGCGTTGGATGTTTTTAAAAGAACCGGGCGCTTGGTTTGCGCAATCATCTGGTAACGCTTTTTGGTGGTATGCCTTTTCCGTGTCATCAGGGGTGGGCGTTGACGCGTTTGCGCCGCGTCGATTGCTGCCGCGGTTAAAAAAAAAAGGACAAAGGATCACAGAGAGGGTGAATGATATTTTTAAAATTGTTTAGTGTGTCGTACGGTATTTTGACACAGCTGCTTTCCATGCGGTGCGGAAGCGAGTAATGGGTTATTGGGTCACTCCGTTTGGAAGGGGGTAAATATTAATTCTGAAGAATTCTGAACTGTATTTTTCTTATCTCCGAATGGAACAGGCAATTTGTAATACCGAAGTGCTTCAATGTGGGTTTGGCTTGTACGGGGCCGTCGTATATTTGCCTCAGCTTGTTTAATAATGAATAATGAAATTAAAGAAAGTAAACGAAACATGGAGTTAGTATTGCACCACGTGTTTCTTTAAATTGCTTATGGGATGCATTTCTGGTTGTTTAAGAACGAAAAATGCAGCATCCCTCAACTGGTTTGCGCGAACGTACAAGAACCTGCTTCACTGAATTCGGTTATTTATTGTGGGATTTAGGATTTAAGTGAAATATGGGAGCTCTGCCTTTTCCTCTTTCCTCCCTAATTTTTTAAATAAATACCAATCTATTAATTGGTGTTTAAATAGATAATTACATTTGTTTATCCTAGACCAAACAGCTTATAGACAAAGAGAAGATTGCTTCTTCATGAGATGCTGTCAGAAAGCATATAATTGCATTTCCCTCCAAATGCCCATTCCCCTTATACTTATTATGGAAGGGAAAACCAGGTGGATTCTTTGAACTTAATAGATTAGGAAGATATAACCATCAAACTCCCTACTTAAATGAAACGAGAGAGACAAACAGGAGTGTATACCCATACGTTGTTGTGGGATGGGATCGCCATTTTTCCTGAAAATGATTTGTTTTTCACCTTGAACGTTTCTTTTTTTTTTGTTCTTTAAAAACTACAACGCCTTGAGATTATAAAGAAACTGTAAGAAAATATCGAGAAAAGAAACGGACTTCAGATCGAAGTTATATGGGGTTGCATCTTTAAGAAAAGCTCAGGAATTTGTTTTTCACTTTTCAGAGAGTGGGAGATGTAGAAAATATCGTTGTGCTGTGCGTTCTTGTGTGCTTTGATTGCGGTAGGGGAGGGATATTAGAGCACGGGAAGGTTTTCTGTGGGGCATATCTAGTGCCATTATTCTAAAAATCTGAAGAGGTCATTTTTTATCTTATTATTACTTAATTCTAACAATATAATATGATAATATTATATTATAATAAAGTGACTTTGAAAAATGCGTCGACATTCTTTTCCTCGAAGGAATAAGAAAGACAAACCACATAAGAGAAGCTGGTGGTGTTATTAGTAATTCGTGGCCGCAAGGATTTTACAACGTAGATGAGTGCTTTTATACAATATTAACAGTAGAAGCGCATTGCACACTGCTAATGCGTAGTAACCTCATATTGATATGACTGTGAGACTTCAAACTGCTTCTAATGTGGCGTATACCATGATTTGATCGACGGTTAGTTTTTTTTTTGTTGTAAAGGGCGAGTGGAAGAAACGAGAGTCTGAATGTTGTATAACTACGTTATTGAGGGAAAAATACGAAGAGGCGGGGATTTCCTCCCTTTCTTGCCTTCTCTAATCTGAAGTTTTTTAGTCAAGGCTTAGAGAAAAAAAACACTTTTGACCTTGGCGTCCCACCCCACCTCCGTATAATTCCCGCCACTTAGCGGGGTCTCTGCACGGCGTGGGGTCCAGAAGTTGTCCTTTCGTGAGTGGGGTTTTGATGGATTGGGGAAATGTTTCCGAATGGGGATGCCTAATTGAGTAAGCCTGGCAGGTCGGGGAATAAATGAACAGCTCGTGTGAAGTTGTCTGATTATGCGGCTTTTGCCCCTCATCAGATTCAGAAAGGGCATAGAACTTGTAGAAACGAGAACGTCAGACTAATATTCTGTTAACAAATGCACTAATTCTATGTACTCATTTTTTGTTCCTGGCACCTAATTTTGAAGTTGTGGCTTTCTTGTTTCTTTTTATCCGTGTTTAGGAAAGTTTGTTGATAAGAGTCGTTGAGGCGTGTTTATGCCGTTGGCTTCTTGACTGAGAGAAAAAAGTGTATTTTTTTTTGTGAAAACAATCTTTACGACAACCGGGTGTTTTCTTGTTTTGACTGGAGACTATACTTTTTGATTTGTCTCTTTTCCTGTCTTCTTTTTTTTATTGTACCTTGGAGGTAGGAAAAGGCTTTTTTCTTTTTCTATATGAGAGTTGTCCTGATGGATGAAAGCAAGAAGGACTGGTGATTTGCTTACCGATGTTTAAATTGCCTAAACAGAAAGCTTTAAGATATAAATCTTTATGGGCATATTTTTTGTCCTTTGTGCTATTTTTTTTTTCTGTGCAGAGAGATTGCTAATGTTTCGCTTCTTGTTATGACTTCTCTATAATATTGAACTGTTTTTTATTTTTAAAAAATGGGACGTGCAATAAGAATCCTTTTTTCCTAAAAAGGATTTAGAGTAAAAAAAACCTTTAATGAGAATGATCATCACGTTGTTTTCTTTCAAGTATGACGTTTTCAAGTATTATGCCATGATGATGGTTTTTTTTTCTCTGTGCTACTTCTGAAGCAGCAAATCTTGTATTGCTGTGCGTTTTGTGGTGGGCTCTGTGCGGGTTTTCATCTGAAGAGACCTTTTACTCTTTCTAATCTAAACAAGTGTGCATTTTTTGTGAACCGAGAATGTCTTTCCGTTTGGTTGAGGTCGCATTTTTATCAACAAAAAATGTATGTGGTAAGACGGATCGTCTGCAAAACAACTTTGCAAGCAAATGAGAATATAAATGGTTCTGGGATCTTTTTCTATGTGATGGCCCAAGTTAGGTGCTTGTATTATCCTGCTAACCTTGCGATGGAAAAGTCTTTGATGCGCTTAAATAGAAAAAAAAGATCGGGTTATTTTTTTGTTTGATTCGTTTTTAGTTGTGATACACTTCGCAATTTTTTTCTTTTGGGTGTGGGGGGCAGGTCGACTTGTTTTAAGAAGGAAAATTATGGGAACGTATTTGCCGACTATCATAGATTCAGTCATAAAATAATATTCGCTATTGACAAATCGACACGTATTTTTTTTTTTTGGTGGGGGGGCTTAGAAGAATGGTGCCGTTTCGTCTTTTGGTCGTGAGGCTTTCCTTTGGTTTTCTCATATAATACTGCCAAAGAAAGGTGGAAGAAAGTGGTTGATAAAAAACCTATTGGTGCTGTTTTCTGTGTGTGTTTGTTTATCAGATGCTGTGTGTGATTTGTTTGTGTTTTCCTGCTGAATAGCAAGAGGTTCTTTTTTTTTTCAACCCACACAGCCTTCCTTAAAAAGGAGATTATTATAATTATATACTGAAAAAAAGATATGTCAAGCAGAGGCGGTCGTGGCCAAGACGAAGGTGGAAACCGCGGTGGTGAGAGAGGCGGTCGTGGCCGAGGCGAAGGTGGATACCGCGGTGGTGAGAGAGGCGGTCGTGGCCGAGGCGAAGGTGGATACCGCGGTGGCGAAAGAGGTGGTCGTGGCCGCGGTGTATTTGGTGGTGGCGGTGCCGGCCGAGCCAACCAGCTACGGGAAAAGGACGTCATAACAGCATTTGCACAAGGCAAAAAATATGATTGTCCTTTGGAAGCGTGGAGTAACTTCCTTCCATTCTATACAGACCGCGAGAAGGTAATCTTTATTTACCTTGTCTCGTATGAGATGAAAGATGGCGCTGAAGTTTTGGTGGATCGCGTAAAGGAAAAGGCTTGTGAAGAGTTGCTTCGCAAGATGAAAAAAGAAACCGGTGAAAAAACCAGTTTTGACTTCGCTCAGTGTGTGTGCACTGGGCAAGCCGTATTATCCCCGGAGCGGCTGCCCATAGAAGAGTTTACTTATGAATTNAAGAGGGGACGCCGTCCAAAACAGTCGCACTATGTGGTGCGAATTTCTGAACTAAAGCCTGCTGTCTTGCAAGTTGAGGAGCACCGAACGGAAATAAACACCATAATCGGCAAAGCTGTGCAGGTTTGCTACAAAGAAAAAAACGGAAGCAAGTACATTGATCTTTCTCAAGGCAGGGAAAGTTCTTCTGGAAGAATAGCGACGTTTGATGGAGTGATCCCCAAGGTTTGTACAGCTACTATAAAGGGGAAAGAAATGACCGTGCTTCAAATTGACACGTGTGTGGTAGTCGCATCCGCGCAAAATTGTCTGCAGGTGATTGAAGACATTAAAAGGCGGGAACAAAAAAACTTTAAAAGGGGTGTCATGGAGCGTTTTGTTAAAGCGAAAGTGTGCACGATGCTGAACGGTGGTAAAGGGGATCTTTACACCGTGTTGGATGTCGCGGAAACCAAGGCGGGAGATCCTGCCAATTTGAAAAAAAATCCACAGCAAACATTTGTTGGGTATTTTTTGGAACGCTATGGGATGAACATAGATCCCAACCAGACAGTCTTCCGCTGCCGTACAGCAAGTGGAAAGACAGTCTGTATTCCACCCGAAGTTCTTTACGAAATGTCGGTTAGCGATGCCGACAAACGCCAACTCCCCCAACTTTGCTCGTTGTATCCCAATGACCGTGCCGAACGAGTGAAGCGGGTTCTCCGTCGTCTTGAGACGGAAGAAAATGGAAAGGCCGTGAAATTCTTGAAGGCTTTTGGGCTTTCTTTTGGGAATAAGTTTTTATTCGTCAATGGCCGTGTTTTAAAACCGGTAGAGGTACTTATTCCAAAAGGAAGCGGCTACAAATCTGTCCAAACCCTCGGGGACAGCAATCAACAAGGGTTTGTAAAGGAACTTCGGGATTTAAAGCATCCCGGAGAAAGACAAACTTTGGACTTTGTGGTCTACGATGAAACACGGAGAGGCGAGGCCCTTCTGAATACACTCAGTAAACATTTGGACACCATGAACGCCGGCGTTCGATTGGGACGGGCACATTATATCAATCGAATCGGGGAGGTGAAAAACACCCCACAGAAAAATGTTCTTGGGTTTGCTTTTTTAAAAGTGCCTGAGAAGGACAGCTACCGCGCCTTGAAGGCGGCGTGGGCAAAGAGGGGTATTGTAAGCCAAGTGGTGGCAAAAGATTTATCTGACGGTCGGGATGCCCCAATTGTGATGGCTGTTTCTCAACAAGTCAGCGCGAAGGATGGAAAGTTGAATTGGGTGCTGGACGTGAATAAACTCTGTCCGTCTTTGTCGTCCAAGACTTCCAAGCTCGGTGGAATTCTGGTAATTGGAGCTGATATTGGCAGTGAGCAGCAGAATATACGAACTGAAACCAAGTCAAAGAAACAAGATTTTTACACGGTCGCCTTCGTGGCGTTTTATGTGCGGGGATCAGAGTGGTCTCCGTACAGTAACCACTACCAGGTGAACGGGCGGCAGCAAACAGTTTTTGCGAGCAACCGTGACGCAGAGGAAATGTCATCGACCGAAGATGGAGGGGTGGCCGTGCCATCCGAAGTCCTTTCGGAAAAAATAAAAGTCTTTTTGCCGGAAGCCAGGCGACACTTTGCTGATAAAGGCTTGAACACGTCAGCAATATTAATCCTCCGCGGCTGTGCATCAGAGGGGGAGCTGGTAAATGCGAAACAGCACGATGCTGCCTTTTTGGGTGGCGCTCTTAAAGGGAACTTGCCTTGTGCTGTCGTGGCAGCGCAACGTTACCAACACACACGCTTTGGTGCAAATACTCCAAGTGAGCCAAATGTTTTGTGCAATGTCCCGCGAGGTTTCGTGACCGAAGAGGCCACTGATAAAAAATTTGGCGAGGCATTCTTCTTGAATGGCGCAAACTGCACCCTTGGGCACGCGCGTTCAACACTGTACGCCGTCCTTCATCGGACGGATTCATTCGAATTAAGGGAGCTACAATCACTCTTATATGGCATGGGCTTTTTGTATCCCAACAAAACGGATGGGCTGCCGCTGCCGCTGCCCTTGAAGTGCGCAGCAGAGTACGCTCGAAAGTTTGTTGGCCTGCGGGAGGTGCAGGTTATGCCCGAGAGCATGCGCACAAAGTTACACTTTCTCTAGAGTCCCGGTATCTTGCTGCTGACGTGAAGGAAACGAGAAGCTTCGCCTTGCGAAAAAAAAAATAATCTGTTTCTGTAAGACAACGAAGCAAAAGTACGACGAAAAAGATGTCTTGTCCTCCAAAAAAAAAGACAAATCAAAATAGGAAAAACTAGAAATGGAAGAGAGGGAGAGAATGATGCGGAGAAGGGGGTACTGATTGGCATCCTTCTCTGCACATAAACAGCAACAATTTGTAAGCAAGAGCGAGGGAAAACCATCAACGAATATGAATCAACATGCTTTCAAAGTGAACACCATTTTTTTGAGTGATGCATTTATCATAAACACGCATTTGTAAGAAGGCTCAACAGATGAGTTCTCTATTAGAGATTTTTTTTTCATGATGAGCAAAAGATCTCTTTAGTTAGCAGTTCGTGTGGCAGCGGAAATTTAAGTATGATTGCGCTTCTTCTTGCTTTTACACAAACACTTCCCCCCCCCAAAAAAAAAATTCGATTGTCAAAAGAACCGACGGTGCTTCTGTCCCTGGCCAATTTGTAGGCCGGAAAGACACGACAAATAATCTCTGGAGAAGAGGGCACTGCCAAACTTGTTAATTTAGTGTTTTAAACTTAATGTTGTTTTGTCTGAGCGTTTTTTTTTTCGGTCTTTTGTTTTCATCATCATCTAATTTGCTTTACAGAGGAATAAGACTGCCCTGCGGATGCAGTGGTAACCCTTGCTAGAAAAAAAAATATGGGAAGTGAAAGTAATGATGTTTTTCCGATTGCCATGCCATGCCATGCATGCTCTCTAAGGGGTTCCAGAAAAAAGGGATGTTAAAACGGAGGCTTCTGAACAACCATAAACATTGAGCGCGGGTGTCATGGAGAAGCGAAGAGTAATGCAAAAGAACATGTGGGGTTGTGTGTAGGGAGCTATGGGTGTTGGCAATTGAAGGCATATGATGTATTGCTCCGTGTGCGTATACGTGAGATACTGACTGTGCCCTCTTTTTCCCCCAATCATTTCCATCCAAGATCTAGTGGAGATGCCTATTCCTTTTAGATCCTCCATTTGGGTGTGTTTGTCAATGATGACGGTCCTCTGTGAGGCCTCTCCAGGTGGTATCATGCTGGGTGGAGGAGGTGGTGATGAGGAATTTCATCCAGTAGGTGGCATCTTTGGTGGTACATTGTGTGGCTTACATCCATGTCCCATCGAAACCCCGATTTGCTGCGGGGGACATGGACTAATGTATCACTATTGTGTTCGTGGTGGCGAGAAATGTTGCAATTCGGAAGAGGGGTATGGAATTGGATGCCAACAAGGGGAGATGTGCTGCGCGAATGCGTATGATGCATCTTGCTGTGGATCTATGATGACCTGTGGCGTGAATGAAGGTAATCTTTCAGTTTGTGTGCCAGATAGATGTGCTGCCCACTCAGACGTGGATAGATGCTTGAACGACGAAGATGGGAATGAATGCCGCTGGTGCTGCGGGGACGGGCGTTGCGTTTCTCCCACGCATAGGTGTACGAATGGGAAGCCTATTTCAAGAGGGCAGACCTGCCAGTCGCCTTGTCAGTACGCTGATACTTGTCTTCGGTGCCTCGATACCTCCGCTGGCGACAGCAACACAAGTGAATCGTGCCTGTGGTGCTGTGCCACACAAAGCTGTCTCCCAGCATCTGAGCATGTTGGCTGTGTGGGTGACCAAGCATTGTGGAGCACAAATGACTGTGATTTTTGCCTTGCACGAGGGGCCGGCAGCGCGTCATATTGGATCGGTAGCAATGACATCTATCTAGTACTTGCAGCAGGTGCTGCTTTGATATTAGGCGTTGGTAGCATCTGTTTCCTCATACACTTCGCGGCACGACACTGGAGGCATAGGGATGAAGAGGCGCGTGACGATGCTGGCGGTGACGACACTTCAGCTGTTGTGCCAAGAAGAATAAAGCCATGCGTGCGTCGCCATGGCTTCAGTCAACCTGAGAAAGTGTCACACCGGTTGTGGGCAAATAGTACCATGACCACTACTACATTGCCGGGTACCAATGCGCTTCATAGTGGTTTGTTCTCCTGTTCTGTGTGTCACTCTAAATTGTCTGTAAAGAGCCTTATTGGGGGCTTGACGAGCCATTCGCCGAGGACACAGGAGGAGGGGCAAGAAACGTATCATGTATCCGCAACACCTATGCCTTGTTTTGATGCTGACGACAATAAAAGTGACTTTGATGATAGCGACAGGAATGACGATGTTGTCATTCTGTTGCCATGTGGACACCTCTTTTGCTACCACTGTATGGGCCTGGGTAATAGTCAAGATCCCACTGTGCTATCGAAAAAAGGTGCTGGGTCAAAACATTCTAAGAAAAGTGAGGTGAACGAAACAGATAGGAGAGCTCATGGAAACAGCGGATCTAAAGTTGCTAATAGTAGACAGCGAATGACAACCATAGGTATGAATAAAGAAACGCAAGTTGCGGCACACTGCCATGGTGCATGCCCTCAATGTAACTGCACTATACAGGATGTTGTTTTGGTGGAGTGCGTTGTTAGATTGTGATTTTACCTATTAATAAATGAAGCTGCTTCTTTGACGGGGTGAGGTGGGGATAACAAAATGATTTTTATTTTATTTCCTCTACTCTAGCGTTTGCATCATTTCTGGTGTGCGAACATAAAGGATCAAATTGTATCTAAAGGTTTCTTTAGTTTTTGCATGTCCAGGCCTTCTGTTCTGACACTTCTTTTTATATGACCCTTTCTGTCACTTTGTTATAGTAAGAGCGACTGCCTTGCCCGGTGGGCCCAGTCTTTTAGATCTTTTTTTCGACAGAAAAAGAATGCAAACGATAGCGCGCCTACCACAGTGTCTACTGCTGCTGCTGCTGCTGCAGTTGGTAGAGGCTGTGGATTCATCTACAAAATTATCAGATTCTGGTAATGGGAGACTAACTCTGAGAAAAAAAGTGTCGGCACACTGGGGTGAAGAAGCTGATGAACTTGATACAGCCATGCAGGAGGTGCTTCGTGACAGACCAGTCCTGATGATCCCCCTCCATCTCTCAGAAATACGATTTGGCGACGAAAACAAATCTTTTAGGGGAAATGTGGCTTGTGGTGGTGGTTACTGTCCCACTGATGTCCCTATATGTTGCGGGGAGAGCCCCTACTACTACTGCGTGCCTGGTGGGACTAAGTGCTGCAGCTCTCCAAGGGGTGATGCGGCGGCATGTGAACAAAGTGCTGAGTGCTGTACCTCACCGAGTAGTGCCACTTGCTGTGAAAGGGGCACATCTTGTGTTCAAAAGGGTGATGAGGCGGCATGTGTTAGGGACACATGTAGTGTGCATGCAACAGCGGATGAATGTTTCTATCAAGAGGAGGGGTGCGAGTGGTGTTGCTCCGAACGACGCTGTATCCCTAAAGGCCGACTGTGCTCTTCAGGAGGAGCTGCTGTTAAGCGAGGTGAGGCTTGTCCTTCTCCATGCCAATATGCGGACACGTGCAGTCTTTGCACCTCATACAACGGAGAAACAAATGCATCGGACACCTGCGTCTGGTGCTGTGGCACACAGTCTTGCATCTCAGTAGATAAAACCGCAGAGTGCAAAAACGATCAAATAGTGCACTCCATGAGCTTGTGCTTCGCTTGCCAAGCCAATGGGCCTGGCCTGCATCCACAATTTGTTGGCACATTTACACAGTTTTTTGCAATGCTATCAGGCATCGTCCTTATTTTGGGCATTATGGCATGTCTGGGCGTTGTGCGGGCTTTCATTTGTTACCGTGCCAATGTAGTGATGCAGAATGGAATGCGAAGGGCGGATATAGATGCTCAACTTGCAGTACGGCGCCATGGCTTCGGTGTGAATGAGTCTTTTCCTTCGCAAGGGCGATCGAATGGCGTGTTTCGGCAGTGCTTTGGCTCATTGATGATGACGTTTAGGCCAAAGTCAAAGCGGAAGGAGCAACACAGAGAAGATCAATTGGCATCCTCTTTGAGAAGTGTGTTTCATTGCACTTTGTGCCACTCTACCTTGCGTACACGTGCACTTACATCTGCCGCTAACTCAATGAAGGGAGTAGAGGCACCAGAGAACTCACACGTGGGCGGCCCGAACAGTAGCCTTTATGTGGCGGATGACGACCACGACGATTTCGTCGTAATTCTATTACCATGTAGTCATTTATTTTGTCGTCCGTGCGTGGGTTTGGAGGCTCCTCAAGGCCCTGCAGCAGAAGTGGGACGTGAGAACACTGCCGCCCACCCAGCAGAAGAGGCAGCGGCAGAGGTAGTGGCAACCGCGCCACCAGCACCACATGACGGTGAGGCCAGTCGCGCGAATAACATCAACCCTTGCCTCAGTTCGGAGGGAGGTGTGGCTGCCTTCCACGATGGGGAACAACCTGCCCTGGATGCCCGCCCCGAATCACGCGAGGGGCAGCCCTGGCAATCGGAAGAGCCCCCTATTCACGCAGAGGGGGCACAGTCAGAGACGAGAATCGGCGGCGCCAACACTACAAGGGGGGAACCACGCCGGCGAATCGCAAAATGGAAGGAAGGGCTGTTGCGGTCCTTGCGAAGACTGAAAAGTAGGCGTACTCGCACCACTTCGGTTCGTGCTCAAGCCGAAGAAGAAATTGTGGTGAATAGTATAAAACACAAATGCCCTAAATGCAAACAGGCTGTGAAGGACGTGCTCTTTCCCGAAAATATCCTTCAGTTGTAGTTGTTTTTCGTTTCTCGTTTTTCGCTTTTGATGTGTATGTGTGTGTGTGTGTGTGTGTTTAGAATGGAGCGGAGGGGAGGGGAATGAGGAGGAGAAGTGGGTAAGAGTGAAAGCTATCATGAGATGTGCGCTCAACAAAAGTAATGTGCAAAAGGCCAGAGTGAAAAATTCGGCACAGCACATAATACTATTGGATTTGGTTCATCAGTTGTGTATTCTGCGGTGTGTGAACGCACCCTCGTATTTTAATGGTACAGGCCCCCCCCCTCCCCCCATTGAGTTGAGGCCTCTTCGCCCGCAAAGACTTCGTTCTCTACTATGAGTTATAGGCTATTGGTTCTGTTTTCTGCTTACCTTTCTTTCTTCGCATGTTTAAAAATTTCTTTCTCCACTAGTGCATCTGCGCAGGGTGCTGCAGGTGACATTTTTTAGCTTTTTTTTCTTTCCTTTTTCTCTACCTGAACACTTTTGTTATTGAGACTCACGGTGTTTGTTACACCCTTCTTCCTATTGTCTTTTTTTCTTTCTTTCTTTTTCTCTTTGTTTGATGTTGGCGAAGGATAATTCCAAGGGACGGAAGGCACAACGAAGATTAGGTAGAGGTAGTGATTTGATCACTTGTCTGTGCTCAGTGTCCGATTGTGAAGTTTCTCACTGACGAGGGTGCGAGCCTGAGAGGTACTATTCCCGTTCTTTAAACGTAATATTCTTCCCTAGGGCATGCTACCATCACGTCTATGCCACGCCATTTCATTCTGGCTTCGTGAATATCCGTGGATGACCAATGTCACCATCGGGACGACCATTGGATTTTCTGCAGATATCTTTATACAGGGTGTGGTAAAAAAGATTCCACGAGAGAAGGAAGCTGTCCTGCCGCAGGACGTATCCCCATTGGTGGTGGAATGCCCCCGCATCCTGCACAAGTTGAGGATTCGCCTCAGCGGTGATAGGGACTCTCAAGTGGCTTTGATTGACCTACGGCGCAGCTTCATTTTTTCGAGTTTCACAATTCTTTTCAACACGTATTTTTTTCTCGCAATGTACAAATGGTTAGACGCTGTTTTCCCCCCATCAGTTGTGACACGACGTACAGCAATTGTGAAAGGATTTTTGAGTTGGGTAGGGGCTAACGCGACGACTCCATTGTACTTGGCTTATGTGGCGGCAATGAGTCATTACTTCATACACAGGACGGGCCGTCGTCAATTTGATGCCGCTGAAAGTGGTGGAGTTGGTTGGGTCGTGGATTTCCCAATTTTTTTTGGCGAGGTGAAAAAACAGGTTAAACAGCAGCTGAGAGAAGACTGGCCGGATATGATGCGATACGGTATTTTCTTCTGGGGCTTGAACTGGTTGCCGATGTTTTACTACATCCCTCCACACTTCCGCTATGTGTACGGGTCTTCATTGCAGGTGGTGTGGAGTGCGATTATGTCTCACCTGATGCATCGTGGGGTGAAAGTAATTTGATATGGATTTGGATGGAGGGGATGATTGTAATGTGTAGGGTGTGATGACGGTACGCAGACGTGAAAAGAGTAATTTGCATCTGTGATGACTTTTTTTTTTCTTCTTGCTTTTGTTTGGCTGTGTGTCTGAATGTTGCGTGTGGGAGATTCTTTCAAGGAATACATTAATCAAGGGCGGTGACAAACCATTTTTTGTGAGGGCTATTTGATCAATATGAAGCGTTCCTCATTAAAGTTGCTGCGTATCACGGCAGTTTTGATGCAGGGTTGGGGCAAAGGGTCCTCCTCTGGTGGGGGTTGGGGCGATGACGACGGAGCAGCTGCTGGCGGTGGCTGGGGATCAGGCGGCAGCGGGCGTGGCGGCGGCGGTGGTGGTGGCTGGGGGTCAGATGGCGGTGGCGGCTGGGGATCAG